CGCTCTAATAGGGCCCCTTTCTTGCCTACCATCTTTCTCAATTTTCCCGAAATTCTTTCACTTGTCAGGGACTTTTCGGCTTTTCGGGACTTTTTGCACAAAGTACCTGTCGAGCGTCGAGAGTGGGGAAGCGGGAAGATTGGGGGGGGGGGAGTGGAGTATACAGCGTAATCGAAATGAAAAAAAACAAACAGTCAGAAATGGGAGCACTCCTTTCTCCAGCTACCAAATATGGCCCCTTCCGCTGGAGGATACCCAACGCCCCACCTGGCCCCATGGTACACGATCCTTCCTCGTCTCAATGTAAAGAAGGGTAGCCATCCAACCTTTGCTACGATACGCGTTCCAGATCGCAGTCATATAACATTTTATATCCAGGTGGATCGGGCACTTACGACATCTGACAAATCGAGATCGATACTATGACCAGAAACAGGTGAAGGGGCAACGATGTGGAAAATTGGGAAGAAGCTTCCAGTTTGTCTTCCGGACCCTTTAGATCATCTAGAGATATTCACCTTCTCCTCGGACACTTCACTAGCGCCACCGGTTCCTTTCGTCTTGTAGTTGACATCACGAGGAGAACCGAAGCCTTAAACAAGTCTGTGAGCTAAGCTGGGACAGATTTCACGACAGCAGTAATGGCGACTCACCAGTTTGTCCCTTTTGCGAGGCAAATTTGTTGGTACCGGACTGTAGCCAGGTGGAGGCCTTCAGAGCCTCGATCTTCTTCTCATCGGTAATCTCGGCCAAATTGTCGGATTTAACTTTGTCGATGACGTCACGAGGCACACCAAAGCCTGAACCGAGCAATTTAGGAAGCATCTGTGCTTGTGGTCCCTAGTGTCAAGTTTTTAGGCCCATTGCACCTTGCCCTTAGTGATGTGGCAACTACGATCGGCGCTTTGATGCAGCCGTCATCGCGCCCTTTGCCCCTGTTACTATTCGCGCTGTGATAATGGGATTAAGATAGGAGACACTTCTACGACGTAAACAGAAGCGGTTCAAAGTTTATTTGTTGTCTTCGTAGCCAACGCTAGATCCGTTTCGATTGTATCTTAATCTCATCATTCTTATCAGGTCAAAGTGCGCTTTTTTCAAAAATACCACTTTTGTTGGGTTGTCTTTGACAAAAAGCCTTATTTAAACCTCTCCAGACAAACTGGCTCCGCTTGACTGAAATGAGGAAAGCGCTTGACTAGACTTTGGTGACTGAACAGGATGCCACAAGCACCAGATTTGGCAGTGCAAGTGAATTTCCACTAGAAAGTACAAGTAGTAGGTAGCACAATCCCCCTTCCCACATAAGAAAATATATAATACTTCCACCACAGTTCCCCATGCAGAACCCTCAGCGTCATAGCTTGGGTGAAAAGTACAAAGCATAAGGATGCTCGAGGAATTTCCTGTTATCCTGGCTAAAAATGAAAGCTCCCTGGAAATGAACTAGCATATCCTCAGCGATCTCAGCGCAAGGATGAAGCCCGGGGCTAGTGACACGAGGCTTGTACTCTCATCAAGGTCAAGTGTGGTCAGTACCACCTAAAAGTGAGCCTCCTAGGACGGGTATCTTCTATCACGCCGTTCTAACAACACAAAAGTATGTCTGTACCCCTCATACTGGGAGCACTCACGAGCATTTATCTACAGTCACTACTACAAGCGCAAGTCCGACAGTGAGCAACTTACATCGGAGGCTTATTGATTTACAGGGATAGGTTTCGAGATTCCTGAACTTTTTTCTAGTGGATCCATCACTTGGGTTTTGCGTAAAGAGGAGACCAACCAATTCACCCTTGAAGCATAAGGAAGCGTTGGTCTGTTGACTGAAGTGACTGCTTGGAAAAGGGCAAAAGCACTCTTACGGCAATAACAGTTTTATATCCGAAGAACTGTGTTGTGATATCCCAAGTAAACAACTACGTACCGGTCATTCCCTTCTGGGAGGCATATTTGTTGGATCCGGCTTGAATCGGGATAATACCCTCGGAACGCATAAGCTTGTTCTTGTCATGCTTCGATGGTTTACCGGCGGAGTATTGTTGTTGCCTGAAAAAAATTGAATTTCATAGAGGACTTTATCTCTTCGGTTTCCTATAAATTCAAGTAAATTTATAGATTTCAGATTTGTCTTTCTTTTCCCCTGTAATTCTAATGATTTATGGATTTCTTTATCAGCGAGTTTTTTCCTTGGCCTTCAGAGTTGTAAGGTAGAAGTAGCCGTGGTGGCTGTTCAGATCCAGCAGCGTCTGAGAGGTTAGTAGCGTTGGCCGTGGCGACTCGTTATGAGCTCTAGACCCCCACATAACAATTTAATTTGTCCCCTTTCAGGATGCGCCTGCATTCTGCTTTCAATGACAACAGTTTGATATATCGACTGCCATTTGTCTTGCACAGTGAGATATCCGCATCCTTACGTTATCAAGAGCACACGCGCACTCAAATACCTCTACGACCCTAATGAGAGTTCACCGCATTCTGTATCCTGAACAGACCGGTACCATTGCCTGCCTACAGATATCCTGTGGCGAAAGCCGAACGATTTCTCCTTGTCTGGATCGCTTTCCTGCATGTTTCAGGCCAAGCCTCTGCATTGCGGTCTGTGCGGGGGGGGGTCTGAACTGTACCAGGTTTGTCTAAGAGCGATAACTAGCATTGGACTTGGACATCGGCTGGCTCCGCAATCCAAAGCATGGGCCATGTATCTCAATAAGCCACTAGATTCTAAAGAAGTAGTGCGTGTCGCATCCCACACAGGATCGTATCAATGCGCAAGACTTCATCCTTTGTACAGCCATCCTGACTGATTAATCCCTTCTTTTGATTTACCACGCCCAGAAGGATGCACTCCTTTGCTTCCTCAAATTTGAGGTAACAGATGTTCTACTAAGATCCTTTCATTTTTAAAAGTTCTTGGAAGACCCAGAAGAGAAGTGGTTCAGCTTCAAGACACTGCAGCGAATCACTGCCCGCAAGTAGCGCAAATCCCTCTTCATGGCGTTGTCTCCCAGAAACATCTGTTTTCTTCGAAAATATATCTTTCTACTTAAATGTGCAACTGACGGGGTGGACAACACCATACGGGATTTTCGAGTGGGCGGGACCAAGAAATGACATCGGTGGCGTGGCCCTCTTCTTCCCCTCCTTTCTCTAAATCCATAGCAGCAGATGAAAAGGAACACACCAATGATATCGCTCCCTGATTCCATTAACCCAGCAAAGCCAAACGGTACCTTTGGAGATGACAAAAAGCATGTTCAGGCATGCAGCTCATAGAAGATCCCCGACACAACGCTATGAAAGAGTTACTGACTTGAGTACATAGACATAATATATTTTTGAGCAGCGCGAAGATGTGTACAAACCCTTTTGCTAAGCGCTATGAGTTTCACTCCTGCTCCAAATTTAGACAACTCTAGCACCAACTTGTTGGGCCCGCCCAAAAGGTTGGTGCTAGAATTGTCTGAAATTGGAGCAGGAGTCAGCACTGTCAGACTACAATTGTCTAGAGTACCTGAGAGGTCTCGTCGGCCCAGCGAAAAACTGATCTAAGATTTTCCTACTATTCAAAATCATCCCAAGTATGCATTCAAATATAGTGGAGAAATTGAATTATATAGAGAAAATATTGAAAGATAGATGCTTCCCAACACTCGTGTTGACTTCCGCGAGCACCACTCACTTTCGCAGAACAGTCTCCGACACACTGAAACCGGTGGTCCGTCCAGGTGTGGGACTCTTCAGCGCCGATGCTGCTGTTCCGGTGGAACGTGGTGTATGCAATTGGTCATCTTTTTTCTCGTCCTGAAAAACGAACGTTGAATATCGAAGAAAAGCCAGCTAATTCTAACCCGAAAAGAGCAGGGCACGTCACATTGAGGAGAAATTTCGAAGTGTGACTCCGGGTAAACTCTCTCCCACATTTTAACTACGTTCCAGACCTAGTTTTTGAAGCCTTCGCCTTCGAGAGATGGGAAGTGGGGGAGGCATTGCGGATCAGCTTCCAGAAGTGGTAATTTGTGGCGCTGCTCACTACAAGGGTGCGCGCAGCTAACCGAAAAAATACTAAAGATTTTTTCTAATTTTCCATGAGCTCAGCAGATCCCTCCTGCTAGGGATTCCTCATAGTTTAAAGTGCTGTGGAAGAGAGGTGAACACAAACGCAGAAAATCCATGTATTGTTGTACTTTCCAGTTGTTCTTTGACCAATACACCACTATTTAGCAGAAGTGCCGAAAGCTCCCTCACCCTACAGCCCTCCCTTGAGGCGGGAGGCTACGTCCGTAGTCGAGCCCACAGCTCGCAGTAGTTACATTATTACAACAGTTTCGAGATGTGCGGCGCGGCGCTCGATGAAGAGTTTAAAGCGCGCTGCGGCAGCTCCGCCGACGCCACGTCGGTGGAAGCTGCTGTTTGTGCCTACGGCACGAAACGCTAACAATAAAATACGAAAAGAACGGAAGAGAATGTCTAACGGCTAGCGCCATATTTGGGCTTTTTTTCCCCGAAAGTAATAAAAAACAGCGTCTAGTAGAAACATATCAGTGGAGCTAACCAATCATAGCGCATCAACAAGTTATCAGGAAAATTTTGTGAGGGTAACGGATAGGGTAAGGGAAAGGGAATATTGGAAATTGAGAGTTTTAGGGGGCTGGTAACCGTTAAATAATAAGTTGAAGGCTTCACTGCTGCGACTTCTTGTGATGTGAAGACAACACATTCGCGAAGATGTCCTACCACCTGTGCTTGTCCCAGTTTTAACAACGCCACCACTCTTGGACAGACCTTGCCATAAACGGGCTCAGGTAGAAAATATAACCCTGTACGCCAACGGGTCAGGGCCTATTTGGTGAATTACAATACTATTCCAGAAGGATCCAGAAAGAGCAAAGAAAAGAGTATAGCCTTCCGGAACGACAGTTCCAGAAGGAGATTCCGCTCAGTGGCTAGCAAGCACACCTGGGAGCAGGGAATGGCAGAGCAGGGAGCAGAAATGCTACCTTCTTACAAATGAGTTAAACAGGAGTGGCCTGTTGGGCATGCCCACTCACAGGAAGTTATGACAGTTGGGTGAGGTGTCAGAATAGAAACCAGAAATTACATTAATGAATTTTTTGCATCTCAAGGTCGCCTCAGCCGGACTCGGTCGATGTGGGTGGCTTACCAGTCATTTACTCTCCTTTCTCCTGAAGCCCAAGGGAACTGGGAGCAGGTGCAGATTCTTGAGAATAGCTACCGGTCTCAAGGAACTGCCATTATAGCTAGGAACTCAAAACATGTAGAAAATACCATTAAATGGAATAGTCGTCGTGAACAACACAATCTCAGCTCCAATATGAGGTAACGGAACAACTGGGGACCTTCAAAACAGCTTGGATAGAAAGGCTCATCTTAAAGCAGAGTTCAAGGATGAAATTGTCACGGAGAAAGGTAAAACCAGACGAAAGTAATGCACAGGCCCGAAGGAAATAAAATGTGTACAAGTTATATTCTACAGAAATACTATGTCTCACCTGCTCAGGAACGTCGTTCTCGTCCTGCTCCTCGCCTTCCATATGCTCGTCTTCAGCGTCTGACATGACTGGTTAAGTTGGTGGCAGTGATGAAGTAGTGTAAGGTGGTAGTTGGGATTTAGTGGGTGAGAGGAAGCTCTCGCGATCTGTGTGAGATGTAGGAAGCCGGAGCCGAGGATAAGAGGCGTGGCCACAAGCGTGACGCTCACGGGTGGGACGGATGGTGCCAACCAATCGAGGATCACTCGCCCCCGCTCTCCATTCTTAAAACTGAACATATTTCCGCTATCGATCGCTATACGGTAGCCATGTCGAGAGAGTAGAGAAGAGAGCATGACGGCTCGAAGTACTAGCTCGAAAGACTGGATCGGATCGGGGATAACGACGAGGGGATCGCGGTGAAGAATGAGTTTATTACATAGCTGGAGATGCCGAGGACATTATTCCTTACCTTTCTACCTTGACTGCTTATGCATTTATGTAGCTACTTGGTAACTTTTTCAAGCTTCCTTCAACGAAAATCAATAAATTGTTAGATGTCGCCCTTCTCATGGATATAATTTCGGCTCTGATAATTGATATAGACTTGTAATTAACTTCATAAATTTTCGGCAA